TTTTGTTCTGAAGATGGGATTGAGTTTAAGAACAACAACACGAGGACATGGTGGCAGAGGTGAGAAATCAAGCTAAAGAAACTGAATGCTAAAGCATCTTATCGGCTTTCGCTGGAAGGTTGGGTTTTTGCAAGAAACAAATGATTTTCTCCCGAGGACTCTCACTGCATGGACTGTAAAAATCGGTACTGACCAATACTACAGATCAAGTACAACTCTGGATCCCAGAGCAGACAATAAACAGCCCATTGTTTATTGTAATAAACCTCTGAGAAGTAAGTGAAGGAAACCGACCGCTCCCGTGTGCAAAACGCTTGTGTATGCAACATGCACGAGTGACCTTGGGCACACTTAACATTTTTTTTTAACTTATACAATTAGGATAATAATGTAATAATAATGTAATTATAAAACTACATGGTTGCGATTGTCGATTTGTGCTTAACGGGAATGTGTGATCGTGCCACATTCTTACAGCTTTAATTAAATCTGGCTGCGATCAGGAAACCATGGATTTTTACAAAGTTGTTGGTCGTTTATGACTAAATCGATTACATAGCATGAGCGACCACTGTGGGTTTATTACCCTTTTCGGGGGTTTCAATGTTTAACGGGCAATTAATGAACAGTAATGTGTGATTATACACCAATTAAAATAATCTTAATGAAAAATAGGCTGAATTCAAATAGCCTGCCTTAAACTGTGGGCCTACTTAAATTTACATAGTGGATCTAAATTTATCCAAGCACATTATTTAATTAGCTCACTTGTTTTTCGAGAATATATTTAATATATGTAAGACCATTTTACATCTTATGAATGTAATACATTCAGTGGATGAATTAGGTGTTATACTTTCTGGACAAGCTATAATTTAGCAGGAAAATTACACTTGTAATTCATAAAGTGTTAAAAGGCCAGATAAAATGTTTTAGTGAGTGACAGTAATGCAATCATGTGTTGGTGATATGTAGAGTACTGTGCAAAAGACTTGAACCATCCTTCATTTCTCTGTATTTTGAGAGGGAAAAGGTGAAAAAGGTGCAATAATGTATAATAATTTAAGCTTTCTTGTAATTTCCTGAAGTAGTCTTCAGGAATAGTTTTCCAGGATCAAGGACATTCAAAGCTCTTCTTTGGATGTTGGCTGCCTTTCAGTCTATTCTGATCCCACACTGCTTCATAAACAGTGAGGTTCAGGCTCTGGGGAGGCCAATCCATGACTGATAGTGTTTCTATCAATGTCACGCTAATAAATGAAGCCATTACCAATCAAACGCTTTGCAGATGGTATAGCATGGTGGATCAAAATCTGATGGCACTTTTCTGTGTTCAGAATTCCATCAGTTTTGACAAGACCCCCAACATCACTGGCTGAAATGCAGACCAAAACCATGACAGTAGATGGGGGGGAAGGGGGATATCCAGCAAAGACCTGACACAGGACCTGAGAGATGCATCTGATATCTCAAGTTCACCCAATTTCTTACGGATGTTAATTTCAGAAACTGTTCATCTGCTGTAGACAGGTTTTTTTTTCTTTTGTTCTCCACTTGCCAGATTTTCAGCCTTAAGAGCTCTTAAGGAGTCACCTTGCAGGTGCAAAAGTACTATTTGATGCTCG